GAAGGGAAGGGAAGGGAAGGGAAGGAAAGGGAAGGGAAGGGAAGGGAAGGGGAAATGGTAAGCTCAGTGTCATACTGTCTTTAGCTAAATACAGCCTCTCTATCCCAACATGTTTTGGGGTTGGTGCCACTTAATCTCCTTCCCAAGAACTCTCTGTCAGTCTCAAAGTGGGAACCAAAAACTGTGGCACTCTAAATGGCCTAAAGACCCTTCACACATATATGTTGACTAGAAAGCTTGAAATTACAAAAATAAATAAAAAAACAACAATGTCAGATTAGAAGAAAGACTGAATTTGCTACATTGCTGCATAATTTGGTCTGTAAAGATAATTTATTTTAGAGCAGATAAGTTTACTATACTTCTATTATCAATAATTTATTTTCTACAGAAATTTGTGATGAAAAATCTTCAGTACATTCCACTTTCATCCATCTTTTAGAAACTAATAGAAGGCTTACACAGTGATGAGTGGTGTAGTAATAAAAAGGTCTTAGAGATTGCTGAGCATCAGTTAACATTAAGTCCTGTCAAATCTGTTTACAGGGAGTGTGTAACACATGAAAGTCACTTCAGTTTTCAAGAGAATTTGGGGAACATCTAAAGACACCAGCTCTCCAAAGCTGTTAGTGCAAAACGGACCAAAATCATTTGTCTTATCTGGTTTTCTTTGGTCTTTCTTCTACATATAGTTAAATCCAGAAGGCTATTAAGAAGATTAAAGCAGATATTTGCAGGTAGAAGAGTCAAGCTCATTAGGATAATAATTATTCCCCAGCTACTATCTAATCTTAAATTGCTGCTAGGAACATATGACCTTGAGCTGTCACGCAGCCTGCTCTCCAGGAGGCTCACTGCTAATATTTCTGGGGGACAGACAAAGCACAAAATGTTTTTTGTGAAAAAAATACCCAGAGATGCTTTTTCCTGATGTCTATGTATGAAATGTGGCAGATAAGGAAAAGAGGGTTCATGTCTCCACAGTAAGTAAACCTTACTGTACCTACCATATAGCTTTTAATTACAAAGCCTGTTTTCTCTCTGTTCCCACTTCCTTGCAGACTTCAACCTCTTCCTAAGACTTGTGATTCTTTATAAATGATACCAAGGCACGAATCTATCCTGACTTATGAATAAAGCAAATCACCCTCAGCAAATGGCTTCGTAAGTTTTTATCTCTTTTTCTAGTTCCTAAAGTGTCTGTATGGTATATACGGAATTGGCATTAAAATAGAAATTATGGAAATATGACATAATATCAATTTTTTCACAATGTGTTTTGTGGGAGTAAAGTGTTCTGTACAATGTCCTGCACTGCGTCATATAAGGCTCTATGTAAGTTCTACTCAGCTAAGTTACATTGCGGTGTTTGTGCCAGTAAAAGAAGTACCGTAATTCTTCATATGGTAGAAAAGCCTGAACCAGCTTAGGATGCCTTTGTTCACTAAAAAAGAAGGGATGGATTGATAGCTGGCCTCATTTAACAACTCTGAGAATGTCATGCTTTGGGTTTTTTTGGAGAGGACACTCCTGTGTAGTGGTGTACCACTAGGGTGTCTGTTAGAGCCAGGGAGAGGAAAAAAGGAAAAGACACTGTTGCCCACAGGGAACCTCCCCTGGGACCAGTCCCTGCTTCAGCTGTCTATGTCATACAAACATTGCACATACCATACACATCAGAAGCATTAGAAAAAATATTTTCAAGTGACTGCCTTAAACCACCAACACAGGAAGCTTTGATAACTATTTCTTTCCACCCTGGTAACTCTTTCTGACCACATCCATTTAATTTTACTCTAAACACAGTGGGTCAGCTTGAACAGCAGGAACAGAGAATATCTCCATCCTCCTTCCTAACATCCATACAGCCCAGTGGTCAAAGCCTTCCTCAGCAACATCAGAGAGGTAAATTCAAATCTCCTTAAATAAAGAAATTAATTTTACTTGGATCTCCATTATACAGTAGATTTCTTTTACTACTCAGAGTAGGTTTCTTTAACTACTCTGCTATTGCATACAAAGAGAGGGCACCATTAGAGAAAATAGTCACTGCCACTTCATTTTGAGTACAGCATAATGTATAGCTGTTCTCAATGTTTCTAAAATCAAGCTTCAGAGATTAAGCAGTCAGTCAGAAATGGTCTGTCTATATGAGAGAGGAGTTTCAAGTGCCTGAAACACTTTGCAGCAAAATCTGGGTCCTCCACCTGTGTTCAGGTTTGAATGAAATCTGCACTGGATTTACCAACATCACTGTTTTTAACAGGACTTTGAAACTCCATTAATGTGTGATACATGCTAGGACCAGTCCTGTTGCTGTCTGTGCTATTCTGATTGCTAACAGTCTGCTCAGACAAAACTGGGAAAAGAAGCAGTTAACAGGACCTGGAACCTCCTTGTTTCATCCATGGACATGGTCCTACTGAGCAGAATGGGAAACAGGTAAAAAGAGTAAATTATCCACTTTTGTCCCAGTCCCTTAGGTCAAAGGCATAACTCCTAAATCATCATTCTAATTCCACAGTCTGTTATTTTATGAATATTTTATAGCAAGATATTGAGCTAAATATAGGAGAGGGAGTTACCATTGCTCAAATGCAATACAGAAGTTCTGCAAAATTCATACCAGTGTTTCCTGCTGGGGGAAATAATGTTCAAGCTGATAAGCAGACTGGAGAGAACCAGGGGATATTTGTATTTAAACAATCAAAAATATGTATGCTTAATATATCTTAGTGATATTATCTTTTTAAACACATAGAGTTAACTCAAAGGAAACTGTTAAGAGAGAAACGGGGAGGAAATGGTAAGATAAGACACCTGAGATAAACAGTTTTAAAGCCTTTTAAAAAGCAAGTGGGGTATCAGAGAGGAGAAAGCCACCTATTGGGTCCCATCCAGGTGAGAAATACTTCAGTCTTCTCAAACATGAAGACAGATAGAGATTTTGAAAACTTAAATGCCCAGAAAATTGATGAGGAGTGATGCAGAGATGCATCAGCAGAACCTGAGAAACTGATTGCAACATAGCTGCTATGAGAAAAGCCCCACAAATGAAGGTGCATGGGGCAAAGAGAACTCACAGCGGCGTAGCCAACACGCCCCATGTATAACCCTTTCATCTCTCTTGCTAACACACCTGGCGCTGCTGAGGAATGCCTAAGTACCAGTTTTTAAAGGCTTTCTGTCACTACACATTTATGCTGTAACAGGATCTTGACTGAAAGCTCATGTAAATACCATCATGAGTTGGACACACATCATAAATAACAACTGAAAACAAAGGGGAGGGAAGGTAGAGAGACAGTCACAAAAAGGATGAAACAAGCTCTTCCAGAGTGAGGAAGAGGTGTCACTTTTTTGAGGTCTGCACTTGAAGAACCAAAAAGACAAGTGGAAATGATAGATGCATTGGGGATTTTTTTTGTTACAACTATGACAGATAAGCAGTTTGCATGTAAAGAAACATTCATCCCATAGTTCTACATCAGCCCTACATCTCTGATTCACCAAGAGGAAGGATTTACAATCAATAGGTTGTGGCAGCAAGAAATTACTTCATTCTTTTTCCCTTTCACGTTACTCATAAACTGCACTTCTCCCATGAAACCTTTCAGCAATGAACTCTGTACAGATTTTACAAGTCCAAGTTGTGCTGTACCTCCTGTATAACAGTATTTGAATAGTTTTGTGTGTTTTAGATTTTTGTGATTTAAATTCTATAAAGATCTTATCTAGCAAAACTCCTTAACCTGCAGTTAACTTGCAGCACATGAGCAGTCCTGTTGGTTTCTGAGCAATGAATTTCCTGCTTGAAATTTCTTCCTTGAAAAATGTGTGTTCTAAGTGTTTTTGTCAATTGTGGTTTACAGCTAGAATTTCAGGTTGCTCCAAGTTTTAGTAGAAATAATGAGAAAAAGGGAAAAGAATTAGCAAAAGGAGCTCTGTTAAAACACTTCTTCCCATTTAAAAAACAAAAAACGAACAAAATCTCTCTTATTCAAGAAGCATTGTTTCTGGACACTTGAGATAAGACAGCCAAGAAAGGTGAACATTTGTCAGGTGTCAATTATTTTACTGATAGAAACAGAGCTATGCAAAATTATTAATGGCTTTTGGAATTCCTATCTAAGGTCCTGAGGAACTTCCTAGAAGGGGCTGGAGGAAGGAGTGCGGCCTCCAGAGATTTTCCACATCTGGCTGTCTCTCTCTAAGGCATGTGACAAAGCAGAGTCTCCTGTATTGGTATCCCTGCTGCTTTCAGTCTTTAAGCAGTACAAATTTCTGTTTATTTGCTTGCACAATGTCAAGAACATTCCTAGGTCTTACACTGATCCTACCAGAAAATTCAGCTGTAGCTTATCCATTCACTTCAGTGAAAGCAAGAGCAAGATGTCATGTCTAATGTGTATGTGTATGCTTCCCTCTTCCAGCAGCTCTGAAACAATTTGTTTTTGAAGAAGTTAATATAAGATATAATCTTTACATACATTAAAATTCCTTGTGCATAATGGAGTGCAGTATCTATAAAATAAATAAAGTATCTAAGATGTCCTTAGTGCTGCTCTTGTCCTGTGCCAAATAACCCTACAAGTCACAAGAGCCCAAAGAGGGGAAGACAAGGAGTAGAAAGAAACTCACCACAGTTATGCCATCATTTAGCAATGACTCTCCGAAGATCATCATGTAAAGCTGCTCATTAACAGAGGCTTCTTCAAAAACCACCAGAGCTGCCACAGGATCCACAGCTGAAATCATGCTGCCAAAGAGCAGGTTCTGCAGCAGGTTCAGGTCTGTCAGGCCGAAGGCTTCGATCTGGCAGACTCCATAGAGGGAGAGGCCAATCCCAAAGGAGTTTAGCAGAGATCCTAGCACAGACCACCACAGGATGGACCCAAAGTTTTCAAAAAATGGGCGAGTTGGCATGAAATAACCCTCCTCCAGGACAATGGGTGGAAGGAGATACAAAAAGTAAATACTTGTGTTCATCACCGGTGGAGATTTGTGATCAGAAGCAAAGATGATTGCTCCTACTAGCGCTCCAATGGCAATCAGGATGCAGCTTTCAGGCATGAGTCTTGGCAATCGGTGATAGAGATGGAAACCTTGAATAAAACATTAGGGTATTATTCAAGTTTAAATTAACCTGATGTCAGATAGATGTTTTGTCTGCCTTTGGATACTTTGTCTTCAGACAGCCAGGTTTTGCTCTTAGGATTAGGAATGTAAAAACAGGCAGTACTGTTCCCTTCAAAATTAAACATTCCCAGACTTGTATCTCTTAAAGCAGGGAAAGAGTTTGGCCATGAAACTCTTTCCGCTCCCAGCTCTCAATTTCTGAGCAAGTGTGCCTGAGTCTAAGCTCCACTTCAAGGAATGCAAAAACCTCTTTGAAACGGTACTCCACAATTTGGAAAGAAAATATTCTTTAAGAATCCTTGCTAGCCAGCTGTTGCTGCCAAACCTCTGAGGCACAGTATCGTCCCTCCATCTCGGAGGCCCCTATCCCTGGCTGCAGGTTTGAAGGCAGCTCCCCCATGCTGAGGAGTGTCCCTGGCTCGAGAGCTCCCGCTGGATTTGGGCCAACCAGGAATGTGGAGAACCCCAAGGGACCATGGAGCAGCTCAGATGCCACAGTCTGCTCAGCTCTGTCCACTTCCAGCATCGCATGGACTCCAGGTGATCCACAGACAGAGGGTCTGTGTAGTTATGAACAACAAAATATCCAAAGCATCAGAAATCAAGCCACAGGAACATAAGGTTTTGTAGAAGTTGATTAAACTTGCTTTTCTGGGGGAAGTGCTGCTCCTACATAGCTAAACAATATTTTGTAAAGAACCGTATGCAATAGTTTACTGAAACAAAACCACTGATTTCAGCAGAGTTGGAAGGACTACCAGCAGCCATCAAATATCTGAGAAAAGAACACGTCCTAAGGGATTATTTTTTTTACTCATTAGAGTAAAGGCTGAGTCTACACTAGCAAACTAAGCAGTCCAAAGACTTTTCCAAGCAGAAAGGTTCAGCTTGCATCCATACAGCCAAATTCAAATGCCTGTCCCAGCAAGAAGTGGTGACATCCAGACTTCATGTGGGAACAGATCCTGGCCCACAGTCTGCCCAGAACTCTTGAAATCCAGAAAGAATATAACACCTGAATAAAACACTGATAGTTTGTAACACTTCAGAAATCTTCTTCCATGGGTAACCAGATTATTCAGACTGGATCTTTCCTCCAAGTAGATGTGAAATCAGCAGCTCCACACTTCTAATCACAAAGAGTATTACTTGAAAACTGCCAGCTAAGCAGCAGGACTGCTTGGGAGGCATCACACAGTTCTTCCAAAGTATCTATTTCTTGCTCAAAACAAGAATATGGAGTAGATGTGCCATATGGCAAGTCCTGTGCTTTTATGGATGATGAATAAATAATTATGAATTAATAATATGCTCACTACTAATATACTCTGCTGATGACATAACAAATTTGATTTCTGAAATTTTTTATTATTATGTTGGCAGTGAAGACATTTGTTTATAGGAGTTGGATTGAAACTGGAAAATCATGATCAGAGGTAACAATTTTTGTCAACTGTGTCACTATGACATGAAACATGTTTTTCAGGCCATCACCAGAAAATCACCAGTCCCAGCTACCAGCCTGTTCCCTCATGGAAAGATCAGAATAACAGAGAGATCACATGTGTGTAGCTCTTCACATTGTTACCATCTTATTGACTTATTTGATATTGCTTCATTAATTCTGAGTGATCAAAATAATTGTAGCCCAGGCATGTAAACATGTAAGACACATGGTGAGTCATTTTTGCTGTTAATCGCAGTTCCTGCCTCTCCATGAGTTGTCTGTCTTCATTCAGATACTTACATGGAGCTCTAATAGAAGCTAGATGTATTGGTATGTATTCAAAAGGCACCCTACGTCTCTAATGACCTACAGTCTCTTTGACTGTCAGTGCCTCTCCTGGGGTATCACTTTCTGAGACACTTTAAAGAGCAAACATGTAAAACAAAGACTCATAGGGAAATGTTTCCTATTATTCACACAATGGAAGAATTCTTCCCACTTTTCTCCCCCAAATACAATACGCTTGAAGTCTGGCTGGTGTTACTGATTTCTACAGCCGTGGCAGGTTGTAAGTTAGTTCTGATATCTTGTGATGTTTAAAGACTAGAAAAAGCGATGGACAGCACTGTGTAAGGGAGCTCCATTGCTACTCACTAGCATAGACAACCCAAGAGACATGAGGGTTAGAGGTCATACATTTAAGCTGGAAGTGTTCAGAGGTGGAATTCTATCATTGTCATGATAAAGAACACACCTGTTCTTTTGAGAACAGAAACTGTAAAAAACAGTCCCAGTTACAAAAATGCATGGAAGATATTTGGTTACATGGTATGTTTTTAACTTCTTGCCAAGGTAGGAGGACCCTAGATCCCATTTTCTACTTACCTATTTTTGCAAGAGAGGCAAGGAGGATCCAAAGAGTAACTTCATAGGGAATTTGCACATAGTCATAGTCCACTGTGAAAACGTGTAGCCTTGTATCTTGTGAAGAGCCAACAGCACCCCCATGATCACGTTCATAGCGAGGCAAGAAACTCTTGCTCGGGTTGGGCTTATCCACATAAGCAGCAGCAGAACAGTATACCAGACTCAACAGTGACAGCCACAGGTTCAAAAGCTTTGCATGTGCAAGCACGGCAGAGCCCATGTCTGGGGCTGTGACTATTCTATTACAGATATGGCATACAGTGGGTCATGAAGGTGTGCAACACTCACTCTTGTTGATACGCGCTTCTCACAGTCACGGCCACTTCTTCCTCAAGGCTGGTTCATTTGCCTATTAGAGGTCATTTTAAAAGCCCTAATGTGCCTGTCCTGTTCCTTGTATTACAGACAGACCTGGAGTTTGTATGAAGATACCGGTTCTGCAGGTTCCTCCGACCCAGATAAATCTTGGCCACAGCATCACCCTGTTAAGGAATAAAAACCCTTTTCGACTTCCATTATTTATCCAGCCACTCTGATTTTCTTCCCAGTGTCAAAAAAAAAAAAAAAAAAAAAAAAAAAAAAGCTGCAATGCACACCATTCAGGCAGCAAGTGCAGCATAGCATCAGGAGGGAGAGATGGTGGCAGCCTGGCAGGCAGGAGAGCCTGCTCCAGACCTCCCTCTCCTTCCCTCACTCCCTGTCTGCCTCCCCAGCACAACTGGCACCTCAGGTACCACACTTGGCACTGGTCACTTGGGAACAAAACCACTTGGTGTGTAAATAAATGGGACTCTGCAGGATTTACAGTAGGGACATCTGGTGGAGGACCATGCAAATTACTTTCTCATTTAGAAATGTGCTGTCTTAAATGCATCTAGTAACTTAGCACATTATAACAACAGAGAGGAATGTCTGAGTCACATCATGTGCCTAAAACTGGATCTTGTTTGTCTTGTATTTTACTCATGCCAGCAAGGTATGTGCTGGACAACCATATTATCCTCCCCAATGCCACATTCACTCTTATGGAACATTTTTTTAAAAGTTCAGCCTCTTCTCCCCTCCACAAAAACTACCATGTTTAGTGTTAGGATAACAAAGTGTGCAAACACAGCAATATTGATTAGAAGCTGCTAAAGCCTGTATTACATACATTGGAATTGAGTAAATTTAATTTACTGACAAATTTTCCAAATTGTTCAAATGATTCAAATTTGGTTGTGTTGGAAAACAGCGCAGACCGGTGAGAACAGAGACGTACCCTAAAACAACTAGCACTGAGGACCCCACACCCACAATGCATGTGTATGGGAGGGGATTCTTTCAGGCCAACTGGTCCTTTTATGGGTGGAGAATATCTTCCACTTACTTTCTGTGGAAAGAGATCCAATGTGTGCACCTGTGATGCTCTGTTGTGCAAAGCAAAAGGCCGTAAGTGGTGACAACTGGGAAATTTGCTTCAAAAGCTTATAATGATCTGAACTAAGCCCTCAGTGCAGGTGCAACTGCAGGGTTAAAATTTTCCGTGGTACAGACAGTGATGCTGTTTAATGTCCTGTTTCTACATGAGGCACTAACTTCTGTTTCTGCCCCACAGTACCACCACCTGTCGTCCCACTGAAGGCTTTGAACAAAATAAAAAATCAGGTAGATAATACTCAGCCTGCTTGCAAGACAGTTGTTCTTTTTTTCAGTATACTGGTCCTAGCAGATTTGTTAGCTTGAAGGCCATACAAAGTTGGAAGAACACTAGATCAGTGGCTCTCCTGTGCAGATTTTCTTAACACTAAACATTGCATTTCACTTAGCTACAGCCATACACACACAGACTGCAAGATGCTTTGAGACTAAGCTGTATGAACGCTGGAGAGAGAGAAGCCAAAAGACTGCAAGGGAAAGACTTCAGAGTCCCTGGTAGCCTACTAGCTGTTATAACCAGAACTTTGATTTCCAACTGCAACACACCCGTCACACCAACAAGTTCAGGGAGATTCATGAGTGACCAGCAGCAGACAGGATCAGCAATGTGCAGATGTCTCCGAGTGTGAAATGTTTCACAAGCGGTAGGAATGCTTTCTCCCACTGCAGGAAGGATGGAGATACCTGGGATCAGATGCTGAAGCAGTGCTGCTTTTTTTCTCAATGCCTCCAGCATACCCAGTTGTAGCAGTCTCCCATGGTACTTCCTTGGTGCTCCCTCAGGAGGACATAACTCTTTTAAAGAGTCTGAATTTGTCCCACTGGACTGCCCGGAAAAATTAAACTTCAAGTTTCCTCTGGATTTCCCTTTTTTAATCTTTTTCTAGAAAACAAGTATAAAAAGATTCCAGAAGAAATACAATTCAAATAACAAAAAATTCACTTGTATTTCTCAACATCACAGCAAAATAATACAATAAATATAAACATAATAATAATAAAATAATAATTTATGAAAGATAGCTCATATTTACAGCTGTGTGCAGTGCCACTTAGTTTTACTGTGGGGCTGCAGCACTGTCACACTGCAGTCCTTCTCATAGTTTTGGAGTGAGCTATTGCTGACTTCAGTGACAGCCTTTTAGAATCACATCGCCATTCCTGAGCCTACTGTCATCCCTCTGCAAAATTTCTGCTATCGATATACCAGGCTGAATAACCTCTGGAAAAAACCCTTTAGGTTGCAGCTTCCCAACATCTTTGTAGCTTTCACTGGCATGTGGTAATGCATATATTTCCAGAACTTCTTGTTTGGAGCAGCAGAAATAGAAGACTTCCAGGTAACAACTGGTAAAATCCGAAGAGCTTTTTTCACTACTGGAGGCAAAGTGTCTGGCTCCTGGAAAGCCTGGAACTTTATTAATACCAGTTTGATCTTTTTGTCTTCCAATGCACAGTTCACTGCTGCCTGCAGTTCAAAGATGCTTGGTCCGCTGATGTAGGCTGGGCTCAAAATAATTATTGCTCGTCTGCTTTTTTTAATAGCTGTAACAACTTCATCTGTGTATGCTGGAGAAGAAATGGCAATCGTTACTGCATTCTATAATGGACTTTTTATCTTATCAGTTCCTTTATCAACAGCTAAAACCCAGAAATAAGGAAAACCAAAAATAGGGATGCTGAGAAATCACATAACCCCTAGAAATGTGTTTGCTATCAGAGGATACCATGGCCATTCTTATGCAGACCAGAGAATACAACTTGCTGCTCAGGAGGTGGAGGGCACAGCTGAGACCTCAACACACTTTGTTGCTACTCAAATGGGGTCTCAAGGGACACTTGGACTTGTTCTTATCTCTCAGGGACAGGTACTGAGGGCTTTCCTAATTACTGCAGGTAACACTGAATAAAATTGCTCAGAAAGTGACCGCTGAAATATCTGGGGTCTTCTTTTCAGTGAGTGGAGTCTGCTTGCAAAAAATTTCTTAGACAAGAAACTGTCTTAGCTTAGAATCTCCCAGAGACCACACTCAAACATACATATACCTCAGGTGCGGGGGCCAGATATAAAGATGAAAAAACAATGAGATTTTAGCAAAAACTCCAGTACCAAACTATGCCATTGGTTGATCTGGTGTATAGGGGGTTTTTGCAAAGTGAAAAACAATTTTATAAACTGAGGATTTTCTACCATCCATAGGAAACTTACCTCCTCCTGGAAGAATATCTCTTTCAAGAATGCATAGCTTGTATCCATATTTATTTTCCAGCATATCTGGTAGAAGCTCCAGGGCAAATTTTTCCTCACTAATTAAAGTAGAGTCACTTTCAAAAGAGTCTAGTTTTGCATAGGATACAAACGCATCAAATTCTTTACCATCTAAAATTTAAAAATAAGTAACACTGTACATATTAACAAGTCTGAAGCATTCAGCTTCTTTCTTAATGCTCAGTTTCCATTTATATCTATTTAACACAAACCTAAAATTGTCACCTGTTCATGAAGTAAAGCCATCCAGTTACCCAAAGCCAACCCTTACTCCTCACTGTCTTGCAGATTTTGTAGACGTACACTACCAAAGCAAGTGAAGAAGGTACAGATGGCTAGTGCAAGGAAGTTTAAACCAAGAAATCTTCTGCATTTTCACAAACATACAATTTTCACCAGTGGAAGATCTGGCCCCTTCCAGGCAAAATCCAGGTTGTAGGGAATGATCTTTTCTCTCATTTGCCCCAACACTGATTCCAAAAATACTCATCAATGCCCTACCTACTTTGAAAATATGGTGAATTTTAAAGGAAAAATGTTCTTAAATATTAGCCGATTACCAAAGATGCATTATTTTCATACACTGTTAAGTTTCTAATCAGATATACTGGTGCAAGTAGCAAAGCCTAAGTCTGATCCAAGTGTCAGCTCAGACACAGAGTAATGACTTTGTTTCAGTCTTATTAAAATAACGTGTTTGTGAGGTGTAGATGAAAAATAGATAAAGAAATTTTCTCAGCTTTGAAACACCCTGCTACCAATGACCTGAGTTAGGCCCATTCTTAATTGCAAGGCAAAAGCAAAACTTATCTATTTGCTGAATAAGATTTTAACTGCACTTGAGAGAGGAGGAAGGAAAACAAAAATAATTTCTGGTGAAAGCTAAAGGTACAGTGGACTCAGTCTCCATATGAAGTTATGCTCCATATGTAGTTGCTTGATGCCATTTAAAATGTACTAAGGTTGATGGGACTGCCAAATTTGATGTGAGATCTATTGGAGATTCCAATCTTTTGAAATGGCAAGACATCCTCAGGCAGCCCAAATGACATCAGACACCTATGATCAATCAGCTGAGTTGTGTCATATGTCAATACAATTAATAGAAACCAGAAGGAAATTCAGCTGCTTAGTGCAGGGTCCTACTTCAGGGTGGTGGTCTCTAGATTTCACCATATTGACTACAACTGCACTGCATGGGAACCAGAACGCCTACAGCCAGCACAGACACCTAGGTAATGGTGTTGAGTATCACACTGCGCTTCAGTGTCAACCTCCTGATTTCTATCCCTAGATGTAAGATTAGGATCACAAACCTGAGCGAGAACCATCAGGTTCCCACAGGATCTAGAAGAAACCATATGAATTCCAGGGAGTAAAGGAAATACAAATGGGAAGATAATGACATACATAAGCTGTAGTTCAACACCAGTATTCAGAACCAGCATGTAGCAGAAAGTAAAATAAAACAAGTGTGCAGATTAGGTTTGGAGGCTAAAGATGTTACTAGACAATACACATTGCATCTCCGCTCCTCCCCTCTGCTCCTGGCCACAAGCTTCCACCACTTCCTTCTACAGGTGCTGAAGCTCTTGTGGTAGCAGAGGAAGCTATTTCATGTTGCTAGCTACTCACTGTCTTTTACTGAGTTATTTTCTGCCAAGTTGAGCCAATTTCGGCCCACAAGAGTGAATCATAAACAGCAGGCATACAGCATCATTAGTATGGGATTTGAAGGTCACTGATTTAGCTGAACTTCAATTCATCTACACCCTGAATTTTGAAGCTCCTTTGAAAATAGTTTTTAAATCACAATAAATTGCACTACAAACCAGATATTCCTCATTTCACCCACAGAGGTCACTGCAATCTTATTAGACAATAGCCAGTAACCAATACATCACCAATATTATTACA